GAGCCGGGGAAGGAGGAGGTGGCAGGCAGAGGATCCTAACGAAGAGCCATGTGTAGGTATCGGGAGCTCCCAGAAGGGTAACGCCACCGATTTTCGGTTTTCTTCTCGGTCGGGGAGGGGTGGGGGGGTCTGGGCTCTTTCTCTCCTTTCTCCGCTCCTCATTCTCCTCCACTCGTGGGCACCTCCTCTGTCTTTTCCTTTCCAAACAACTCCAGCTGGGAGGCACTAGGCATGTCTTGCCGGGGCGGCCTCACTGTCATTTTCCAGTGGGGGGTGTGGTAGGGTGGGGAGGCGTGGGGGGCTCTCCCGGGCAGGGCTGCGGCGGGCCGCCTGCCCGTGCCGGGTGGGTGTGAGGGCGCGAGGGCGTGGGGCCTGGGCGGGTGTGTTCAGAGGGAAACGCAGTGGCCCAGGGGCTGGAGCGGGGCAGGGGGCTGTGCGTCTTGAGAAGTTGGGCTGAGCCAAGGCGCCGTGCGTGGGGGCGGCGGGGGGGAGGCCCGCCCCTGAGCTGAGAGTTTTGGGGCGCTGAGGGGTGCGGGAGGCGGGGAGCTGCGTGCTTACACTCCAGGGCTTGCCGTGTGGGGTACGTGTGTAGTAAGGGCTGAGTTGTGCGGCAACTGTGGCTGGGAGTTGTGTGTGCGCGCGCGTGTGTGGTCCAGCCTCGAGGTGTGTGTGTGGGGTGGGGTGGGGGTACCGGAGAGTGTTGAGGGGAGAGCGCCCCTCACCCCCGGCTCCCCCACTGCCCCTCTCATCCCATTCACAGAACATGGCTTTCAGGACCCTCCTGGTCTCCTCCTCCTGTCGCCATGGCTGCGGGGAGGGGGTGGGAGGAGACAGTTGGGGCCAGCCGCTGCCCCTGCTGCTCCAGCTAACCCTCCACCGGCCCTTTCTCTCCCTTCCACAGGCTGGGCCCCATCCCCTGCTGCTCTGGGGGGCAGGGGCCGGAAGATGGTGGCCAATGAGGAGGGGGAGTGGAGAGAACTTGAGCCGGGCCTCCCCTCCCCCATTTCCTCCTCGGTCTCTACACCCGCCTCTGGAAGGAGCTGGGGGATGGCTCCTGGGCCCAAGGTGGGGGAGGGGCCCTGCTGGCTGGTGAATCGCTGGGAATCCCGCTCTGGAATGAGTTGGGTGTGAGCGCCGAGGGGATCTTGGCCCCAGCCCCTTCTCCTCTCCCCTCCTTCCCCAAGGAGAGATCTGGGCACTCCTTGGTGAAGAATCTTCCTCTAGCCTCCCTAAAGCTGGCTGGGCAGTCCTGTCTCTGCCCCTCTGCCCTCTGTTGACATGATCCAGTTCCCAACTGGGACTGGTTTGCCCAACTCGGGAGCAGAGGCCTGGTGACTGACCCTAGCGGGGCCTTCGTTTCCGTCCACTAGAACTGTACAAACTGTGGGACAGGGCCCCGTATTTGCGTTTGCAGATCACAGGAACAAACTCTGCCTGGGAGGGCGGGAGAGAAACTCTCCTGCTTCCTGAGGCTGGTGGGAGAAGGCTGGAGGGGAAGCCCAGAGGAAGAGCTCCCCGCTGGAATGCTGTCCTCCGTTCCTCCTGCTGGCTGTGGAGTGGGGAGGGGGTAATGGCCCCAGCCTCTGCATCTCTGGGCTGTCACCGGGTCAGAACTGGACCTGGGATTCTGGGGCCACAGCTCTAGCTAGGAGTGCGCCCCACTAGAGCTTTGAACCTTTGGCCCTCCAGGTGTGGCTCCAGAGCAGTCTTCAGATTTTGGATTTTAATCAGCCTCAGGATTGTTTATCTACGGTGGAAGCCCCCTCCACCAGTATAGGAGGGGGGAAGTTCTGGGTGAACTTGAAGACTTGTAAAGGTAGTCCCTGGATAAAACAGGAAACAAGGAGAGTCTTGCCCCGCTACCCATGAAAGCCTATCCTCTACCACTCAGTGGAAGAGAGGGAATCACCCTCAGCATTTTGTTTTGTGCTCAATCCATAAAGTGGATTTTGAAGACCTCAGAGGAGGTGCAGGGGTGGGATGTCGCCCATAGCATCCACCTCCAGACCTGGAAGCCTCTCTGTGCTCCCTGGGTATCTGTGACAATAGCCTCCCCCCCGCCCTCTGGTCCTGGAGCTTCGTCTGCGGTGTCTCCTTGAGGCCTAGAACTCCACTTTATCTAAACTAGAAAGGAGAGAGAGCGCTTTAGAATAGGGAAGAATGGAGGGCTATGTGGTCCTATTTAGCAAGTTTCCTCTCCAGAAGGGAAACTGGTAAGAAATACAAACCTAGGTAACTTGAGTGTCCCCCAAACTTCTGGGATTCCCACCAGTCACCTCTTGTGAAGACTGTGCCAAGCTCAAGGTATGCCTTCAGCTGCCATCCTGGCCCCTGTTCCCTACCCCAAAACTCAAGAAAATGGTGGTTGCGCTGCTGGGAAGCATGAGGAAGAAGGCGAGGAATGAAGAGAAAATAGAGGACTACCACTGAGAAGGGAGGAAAGCTGTCCTAAAGATGAGAAGGGGCAGAGGGAGGCTGAGTGGGCCGGGGACTGGGAGAGAGGCGAGGAGGCAGGGCCGGCTCTCTGCTGCAGGCCGGAGCTCTTTTCACATTGTGCTACTGTCTGCACCTACCACTAGCAGTGCAATGTTAAAAGGGCATTGGCTGTGTAGTGCTACCAGCGCCGGCTGCCTCCTCAGCGTCAAGATATCCTCTCCCATCTGGGCGCCAATCAGCTACCCTGGGGGTGGGGGGAAGCCCTAACTATAAGAGTCAGACAAATAGCTCACATTTACTGTGGCACTTCGCGTGCAGCCTGAGCTGCATTTCATAGCTTCCCATTTCACAGATGGAAAAACTGAGCCAGAAGGTTTAAGCAGCATGGCCAAGGTTATATAGCTCTTAAATTGCAGAGCCTGGATATAACCCTGCCCTAAATCTGACAGTTCACCCAATCTTTTTGTAGACCTATCTGAGAAGGTTTGGGTAGGTCCTCAACTGAACTGAGGGGTAGAAGATTTTGATGCCATCTGCTGGTTGTATGATATCTTTCAAAGTCTCAAGTCCTGAAGGGTAAAAGTGATGGCTTATTGGCTAAGGAAGAATTCCCAGAATTGGCCTGGAATTGGAGGATGGTGAGTGGAGAAGATTGGGAGAATCCCTTTTAGGGCCCTTGTAGACTTCCATGAGAAAAAGTGGATGCACAGGAAAGAAGAAAGGGCTGCCGCTGGCATTCCACACCCATGGCTCCTTCCCTGGCTCTTGGGGTATAGAAAGGCGACCTCATCTCCACCTGGAATTACCACTACGACCCCTCTCGGTTGCAGGTATTTGATAATGATGCTTCCTGAGGGTACACCTGTCTGGGCATGCAAGGTTTGGACTGCATTGCCTACATATGGCCTGATGTTAGAGTCTAAATAGGATCCCTGAGCCAAGCCCACAGAAAGATTCTTCCAAGGGAGATTGCAGGAACTTGAGAGCAACAACTATGCCATTTATGCCTTTGTATCCCACGGTATCTAGTTAGTTGGCTTAGTAAGAACTTCAAGTAAATGGAGAGACAGGCATATTTGGGAGCCTTATGAAGGTAGGTAGTTTTCAAGGTCAGAGCTTGGGGCTTCCAATACTTAGGTGCAAGAAATGGGACTGAGGACAGGGTTTGGGGTCCCTTGCTGGAGTCTGAGAGGATCTCTAGGCATCACTAGGCATGCAGAAACTGCATAGTGGGGCAGACCCTCCTGAGGCGTCTCAGATGGGGGTGCATGTGCCTTCTTGCACCTCCATCTTCCAGCTCTGTTGTGCCCAGACAGCTCCATTCCGATGTTGACAGTATTTGAAATGTTACAGTTTATGGCCCGTGCTTTCTACAGTATATTAACATTTCTATTGGAGTCTCTGGGCACAAAACAGCAATTTGATGATGCCACTCCATTCTTGTATAAAAAACTAGAACTTTTCAGTGTTTCCCCAGTGCCCTTGGGGTGAAATCTGGATTCCCGAAATGGTCTATGGCTGCCGCTCGTCTTTCCTGTGCTGTCTCATCTCTTGCCCATTTGCACACCTATACTCTGGATACAGGAAACTTATTTCCTCAGATTGACTAAGCTTGAGCCACTTGACACAGTTCTCTCTGCCTGAAATACTCCCCCTGCCCCCCACTCTTCCCTTTGCCTACTTAGCTTCTCATCCTTCAAGTGCCTTCTCAGTCATCGCTTTGGCTAAGCCTACCTTGATTCCTCAGATCTCGGCTAAGCCTCTTCTGCAAGCTCCCAAGCTTACTCCCCATCCCTGTTCAGATCCCATCACCAACTGGAATTGCCAGTTTGTCTGCCCACTAGACCGCCGTTAAGTCAGGCCATGCTGCCTTGTTTTCCACGGCATTCCCAGTGGTGAACACCGCACCTGGCAAGTAATAGTTGCTCTGCAAATATTTGCAATATCAATGAATGAATCCGGAAATAACAAGCTCGCTGATAAAGACTGATTTTTATGATGTGTACAGTCCTCGCTGCAGTTGTCAGTGACCCAACGACAGTAGCAATTTCACATCACTGCCAAAAATTGCACTTGGGTCACATGGCTGCATTGATGCTGCAATTTTGAGTTGTTTTGTTCCACTTTGGATCAACTACAAGGGCAGCACCTTGGCTGATCGATTTTCCTTTTACCCTTAAGTGTGGCCGTGAGCTGACCAAAACATGAATCAGATGCAAAACAATGGGACCCAAGAACACCCTTTCTCTGGGATGAGCCTCTACCAGATGTCCAATCCTGGATCCAGGCAAAAATGGATGCATCATCAAGGGCTCCACTAGACTCAAACAGTTGTGGATGCTCCAACTGGAACACCTCTCACAAAAGCTACCTTACCGAGCAAAACCTCACTTGAATATCCATCCATCCCCGGGTAAAAGCTGGAGTGGGGTCTTGCCACAGACAAAGTAGTTGCTGCCCCCTAGTGGCACGAAGGGACAGGCAGGGTTGAGATGACTGGTACTGGTACTTGACCAAGGAAGGAAAGTCGAGAGGACAGCACCTCGTGGCTGCTTTTCCCCTTTTTATTAAAAATAGACCCAAACACTTTATGTATCATACAAAAGTTTCGTTCGCTGGTGGCAGCCACGAGGAAGCCTGGCCCCCGTGGCACTGATTTCCCACCTCGCCTCCGAGAAACTGGGTCCCCGGGAGCAGTGGCTGGGCTTCGAGTGCCCACAGAGACGGCTTGCTCCAGGAACAGCCAGCTGGAGGTGGGCGCTGCTCCGGGGGCAGCTTCCCCCACCCCACACAGTGGCAAAGGTTAGATACTGGAAAGTGCCTCTTTAGTGCCAAGAGAAACAAGTGGAGTGAAATGGGAACCTCTGTGATTCCTTTATTTCCCAGGGCCTGGGGTTTGGGATTTTTCCCTTCTACCCCCAGAATCCTACTAATGGGGTGGGATGTGTCACCTCAAAGACTGGTATTTCCCTGTGTCTGAGGCCAAAATTTCACTCCAATCCAAACCTTCGCTCTGCTCTTCTGTGGCCCAGGCTATGCCAGCCCCGACTCAAGCCTTGTCCTGTGTTCACTTGAAAAGGATCAAAAACTGATTCCTCCCATGGTCCTCTGCCCGAGTGCATGCCCCCGCCGTCGCCTCCATTTATAGGACCCACAAGGATCCTTTCTCCCAGTTCTGCGTCTCCCTGACTGCTGCCCACTCCTGAGCTTTGAACACCCCTGGGGTATCCCAGACCCCTGTTCCAAAGAGGCCTGGGAGTGAAGAGGTGGAGGCGGAAGGGGTTGGTGGGAGCCGGGGTCCCCCCAGGGGTGGGGCAGTACTCATGCTGGTATGGACTCTTGGCAGGGCCAGGGGACAGGGGTGGGAGGGTGGGGCATGCGGAGGAAGGGCACTGCCTGCCTGAGCCCCTCAGTCCCAGCCGTTGTCCTTCACCATGTGTGACATTTCAATAATGTACTTTCCCTCCTTGTACTTCTGGCTCGTCTCAAAGGCTTGCTCCTGGTGAAAAGGAAGCAGTGAATGTGGACTAAGCAGTTCCTACGTCCTGTACTACCCCTTCTCCCAAAGTGCCCCTCCCATCCAGGCCACCCCACTGGGGCTTGGAGGGCCATGGGGACTGTCCACTTTGGAGGGTGCCTTTCCCCTGGTACTTACATATTTCCAGCCCAGTGTGGTTTTGCAGCTCTCACAGAAAATATCAGCTACCGAGTGAAGCCCCGTGAGCAGAAGCCGCTGTTCCGCTGGCCCACAGCCCACGTTGACCCTGTCTCAGGAAAGAGAAAGGACCCAGCACCCAGTGGGGTCGCTCTGTCAGTTCAGCCCCCCAGACAGCTCAAGGGAACTTCCACCCGGAGAGCTGTACCCACCCAGCTGGAGCCCCTGCCTTCAGCAACCCATCCCTTTGTGACTAGTGCCTGCCTGGGCCTTCATCCTCCAAAGTGGAATTCCAGTTCTGCCCGGACTCCCAGGAGAACTGCAGCCTGAGTTTCTGAAACCCTTTGCAAGAGGGGAGGCAAAGCAGAGGTGCAAGGCCACTTTCTGAGGGCTCACCCTCCTTCTCCACAGAAGAAAATTAGGCACACACGCAAGCACGCACAAGAAGAGAGGTGGACTCACACGGAGTTAAACAGGTAGGCTCGGCCATGGCTCCCTTGGAAGGACTGTGGAGACACAGGACAAACAGTGACTAATGGGTGGCCCTCGGCCCCACTGCCTGAATCCCCAGGGCCACGGAGGAGGGATGGAGAGCGAGCTGCCTTGCCTCACCCCAGGTGAGTTCCAGCCTGGAGGGGGAGAGGCAGGCCCCCACGTGGCGTACCTTGGAAATGAGCTCATCGTGTTTGGCCAGGTGTGCACGGCAGTGGACGCAGCTGTAGGTGCGGTGGCAGCGGGGCAGGTAGCTACGGAACGTCTTGGTGGGGAGGCAGGCGGGGCCCGGGCCAGGGTCACAGCTGGGCATGACGGGCTGGAGGACGATGCCCTGGCGGGCCGGAGGGGCTGGTGCGGTGCAGCCCCCACACAGGCGGTCGCAGGTGAAGCAGCGGAGCAGGTTGGCTAGAGCCGTGTTTCAGGGCAGGAGAAATGTGGGGGGGCTGCCCGGCCAGGGCCCCCCCCGACGTGAACCAGGTAGAAATGGAAGTCACCTGGAAGAGGGGAAGGTGCGTCAGGAGAGCCGTGATCTCATGTGGAGTCCCTCCTGAGGGAATGGAGAACATGGGGCTCATCGGTCCTGTGTCCCCCATCACAATCAGCACTCAGGCGCTCTGAGCGTCCCTGTCCGTGGGTCCTCATCTGCCCTGGCAAGCCTGGAAGCAGCTCCGGCCCTCAGGTGCCCTAGATGGGGAGGCAGTGTCTCCCACTGCCTACCCCCAGGCAGGAACAGCCTCCACCATTTCCACTGGGAGCAGCCCGCGGCTCCATGCTGCCATGGGAGCAATGTCACGTGCCAGCACTCTCCTTGATTTCAGCTCTTCAGTGAGGATCTGCCTCCCACATGCTCTGATAGGTGCTAGAGCTCAAAGCCTTTTAAAAGCTGGGGATGCCTGACAGTTTTTCTGGTTCGTCGCCTCTATTTACAGCAATTGGTCCTTCAAACGTTTTGTGTGGCAGGAGGGGAAGATGAGATGGAAGGAGAGCAGGCAGCCAGGCACACACACCCTGCTTCAGCCTTTTCCCGGAGCTGGCGGCCTGTTCCCTGGCCACTAGAACTTCATGGATGTCTCCTTCTGTACCCAAGGCCAGGCCTGCCCCTTGGCCCACTCATTTTGGCCCAGAAGTACCTGGCTGTCTTCTCAGCCTCTGAGCCCCTTGGTCTCTTCCTACTGCTCTTTACTGCTGCCGTAGCCCTCAGTCAAGGACTTAGGCCCCCAGCTGTAGGAGAGAAGTCTCCTTCGGGCAGATCTGACGGGTCAGAATCCATGGGGAGTGGGGCCCGCGGGGAGGAAGGCAGCCCTCCTGAGCCGAGCAGGGCTGGGTGGTGTAGTGTGGGGCAACGTCCTCAACGGGCAGCAAAAGAGGGGGCTTGCATTTTCAAAAATTGTGCTTTGGGGCCGAAGGCAGAGAATGTCTCCACCTTCTCCCAGGGGCAGGGACCAACAGCAGTGCCCCTGTGGGTGACAGAAGATAAAATAATTTGCTGGGCTCTGATTAGGAGTCTTGAGGAAGATGTTGATGTCTGTCCAAACTCCAGCGCCCAAGTGGCTGCAGGTGCTGGAGGCAGAGGATAAGAAGGGAGGTGTCCTCTGTTGGCTCTGATAAGCAGGTGAAATGCTGCCTTCTCCTTCATGGGGCCTTCAGGTGTGTTGTGGGTAGTTTCGCCCAAGTCTGGTTCCGAGGTGCCAGCTGGGTGCTCTGGCAATGACAGGCCGTGAGGCAGAGCAGGGCTAACAGGCTGTCATCCTATCCTCTGCGGTGGCTGCTAGTGCCCCAGCTGTTCCAGTCCTTCCTGGGGCTGCTGAGCAGTCTCTCCACAAAACCCCCGACAGAGACCAGTTTCAGTGTTGGGTCCTGCCCTCCTGGCTGGGCCCCAGAGAGACACCTTGGGCTGAGTTCAGGGTGACATTGGGCTCCGGCCACAGGAAATGGGCCCTTATCACCAGCATAGCACTGGTCAGCGTCCACTTCACAGGTCTGCCTCCAACTTTGCCTGCTGTGCCCCTCTGCCGCTGCACCTAGCACACCTTCTTCAAGGGCTTGGAGGGGCCGGCCACGTCCCTGCTCGGCCTCCTTCCCAGCCTCCGGCACGCCTCTCTCCCTCTCTCTCCCTGCTTCCCCATCAAGCCAAGCAGAGGCTGCCCAGAAGACCAGAGAATCACGCACAGGACGGGGAACAGGGGTCATTTCTTCATCTCAGATCATAGGGAGAAGCAGGTTGGGCAAATGATGGGTAAAAACAAAGGCAAGCTGAGCGCTGGGGAAAGGATGTTCCCCAAGTGAGCCAGGGCTGGACCGTGGGAGGCAGGGGAGAGGGAGGGCTGGGGGCGGTGCTGAGCAACCATCACTGACAGCAGAGGCCCCAAGGCAGAGGCTTCAGGAACCAGGTGCGAATTCCATGCCCGTCCGGGAGTGGGGGAGGGAAGGGAAGGGAGGGGACCACCTGCTCACAATGGATTTTCTCATCTGCTCTGAGGCTTCGGCCCCCTCTGGGCTGGCATTCTCAGCATGGTATGGTCCAAAATCATTAGCAGCGCAGCCAGCTCCCTGGGCGGGATTTGGGGGTCTGCACCAGCAGCAAAACAATAAACAGTGATGCCTGATGCTGCAGCCAAAGTTGCCGGGAAATAAGTGTGGGGAACGGTCAGAGCTTGGAGAGGGATGGAGGAGCTGAGAGAGGAGCGGAGGCACCAGGGAGGGGGAAGGGAGGACAAAGGGTGGATGAATAATGCTTTTTGCAAAGGGGAGAAAGCAATGCGCAGCAAGAGGAGGAAATTTGCAAAGGGGAAAAAAATTCGTTTGGAGAAGGGCTGCCCCCTCACCTTGAGGTCTGCTCCAGAGATCTCCGGCTATCTGTCTCTCTCTCTCTTTCTCAATCTGTCTGCTCACTCTTCTCTCTTCTCTTTCCGCTCCTTCAATGGGGAAGGGGATGGGGACGGGGGAGGGGACTTAGGGGCTCAGGACTGAGGTTGCAAAAGCTGGCCAGCTGCTGGGGGGCCAGAGGTTGTCTCTCGTCTGTACCTCGGTCTGTGGGTGAATGTAGCTGTGTGTTGTGGAACTGCATCATAACACTGTGAGTCATCCATCCCCCCACCCCCTCACCTCCCACGTCAGAGCAGGGCTGGGAGACACAGGAGGCGGGTCGGGAGAGAGAGAGGGGGCAGGCATCGAGGGATGGGGCCGGGGGAATAAGGCTGGGGTGGGAACGGGAGGGGGGCCAGGACTGGGCGGGGCAGGACCAGGAGGGGTGCGAGAGAGGAGAAGCTGATAGCTGAGGAGGACGGAAGTGTGGCTAAGGAGATGGCACCTGGAGTGAGGAAAGGGCTGGGCAAGGATGGAGTACGGGTGACAGGGCTGGAGGAAAGGAGGCGGCAAGGCGGGGGACAGTGAGATGGATGCAGAGAGTCAGGTGCATCCATGATGATAACTGTTCCCCTTTCAGCTCTGACCCCAGCCTGATGCAGAGCAAAGAAAGGCGTAGTAATGGTCACATAGGGCAAATTGTGCCCCCAAGCTCGTACCCGTCATTTCTAAGCCGCAAAGCTTCAGCCTAACACCCTTGTAGGAGTCATAGACCAAATATGACATCTCACATGCAGGAACCTGTTATCAACTACCTCCAAATTCCTTGTGCCTTATGAATGGAGACATCCACATTACATAATATTCTGTACTGAGCTGTGAACTTTCTGAGGCAGGTCCTCCGGGCAGCTCCCCTCTGCATCCTAGGACTGCAGTGCCTAGCACAGAGCTGATGCTCTCAAGTCAGCAGATGAGTTGCATCTTTACACAAGTGTCCGGCTTGTGTCTCAGAGACCTGAATTGGCAACCCAGATCTGCCAATGTCCTCACCATCAACCACTGGGCAAGGTACTGGTGCTCTTTGTGCCCTGTTTTCCCTCGCTATTAAAAATTTCCCTTACTGTTAAAAATTCTGATAGCTCAAGAGACATGTGCCAAACTTGTGTCTTATTAAGAACTTACTTTTTTATATCAAATTTCATTGGACTCAGAATACTTCTCATGGAGTGTTACCCTGTGCACCTCACTAAAGTATGCGGTCACAGAACACATGCTCTAAGACTAAAAATAAAACAAACAAAAAAAAGAAAACAAAACCCAATTTCTAACAGGCTAACATGGAGAAGATGAACTGTGACAAAGGTAGGGACTTACAGAAAGGACTGCTTGTGGGTGGCTTGTTTTTCTTTTCGTATGTAAGGAGGGGGAAAAGTTAAGTTAGGGAAATGTAATGGGAGGCATTGCTAGCTGGGTATGAAGAACGGAATTCTGAATATTTAATCAAAAGATTCTGGAGTTTAAGGTAAATTCTGAAAGCACAATGTGGGTGTCTTGAGTGATAGTATCACAGACCTGACTTTGAGAGGGAGAACTCAGTAAGGAAAGAAGAGGGAAGTGTTCTTGCCTGGGCAGCAGATGAGAAGGGAAATGCAAGTGCAGGAGGAATATGAAGAACCATTTTTTTTTTTTAAAGAAAACAGTGGGAAGTGGGGGGAAAAAAGGTGAGTACTTTTTAGGGCCAGGATTGAAAGTTTGGAAGCAAACAATGGTATTAATTTAACTCAGGAAGATGATGATCAAGGATTTAGCTGGAGAGGAGATTGGAAAAGAGCCTGAGGACAGCGTTATTTGGGGCTGGGGTGGAGGTGATGGGAGGGCTTGATGAAAGGGAGAAAGGGGAGTACGCAAGCACTCATGCTTTCAATGTTGTGCTCTGACTCTCTGTGTTTAAGAAGCAGAATAGAGATCAGTCCAAAGAGGGTGGGGTGAGTTCTCCCTAAATTCAGCTTTAGATGGCTCTACAATATCCAAATAAAGATGACCTCCAGATAATTGGAAGAAATTGCCTCAAGGGAAAGAGCGTGGAGGCAAAGAAATCGATCTTGGAGTAGAATGCACGGACACAGGAGAGGATGAGCTCACTTGGGGAGAAATTTTGCGAATGGCAGATTGGAATCAAGTTTTTGAAGCATGGTGAAAGATTCGGGGCTACCTAATAGTTGACTGAAGAACTAACACATGCATGGTGAATGAATGAATGAATTAAAGCGAACCATCAAAGAGAAAACTAAGGAGTGAGGAGTGAGGATGGCATTCTTAGTGAGTGCTAAGGTAGAGCCAGTGGAGAAAAGGCAACCCAGAACATCTCCCCAGGTTTCTCAGTCTGGATTAACCATGTGAGCGGGACTGAAAAAAGTACTCATCTGGAAAGTGAGGATGACAGTGACAATGTGTACTTCACAGGATTCTTGTGAGGACTAAGGGAATTTACACTTGTGAAGCCCAGAGGACAGTACCTGGCGCTACAAATGTGTTTGCTGTTATTGTAACTGGACTCCGACTCTAAAATCCTGGGTTTGAGTCCCAGCTGGGGCTAGTTCCTTCACCTATTTCTCCTCCCTCGTCTGGAGATAATAAAACTGACTCTACAGGGTGGCTGTGAAAGAAGATACCTGAAAGGGCTTTGAAAAAATGTAAAGCACTGTAAAAATGAATGGCATTGTTACAGCTTCCCCTCCTCAAACTGTAATAAAACCTTAAAAGCTAACATCAGATGCTTTCTATGAATTACAGGCATCATACTTAGTTCTTTATGTTATCATCCCATTCGATCTTCAAAACGACTTTAAGAGGTTGAGGGTACTGTTATTATCCCTATTTTACAGACAAGAAACTGGGTCTCAGGGAGTGTAAGCCTGTCATTTGTCCAAATTCACACAGTGAGCAAGTGGCATAGCAAAGAATACAAGACTCCAAAGCCCAAGCTTGTGACAAGAGGCTTATAGACGTGGCTCAACCTGTTACCTGTCGAGCCAATGATTGATTTTGTGTTAACTGTCAGGGATTCAGGGGAGGAGAGAATTCTCAGCAACACTCCCTACTCAATAAGAGAGACGTCGTTGTGTAATGACCGACTGACAGAGAATACATGGAAAAAATTCTTGAATTTTTATTCTTTTACTAAAATTTTTTTTGCCCTGGCTGTAGCTCAGTTGGTTAGAGCGTTGTCCCCATAGTCAAGGTTGTGGTTCACTCTCTGGTCAGGGAGCATACCAGTGAATGCATAAATAAGTGGAACTTCAATTAGATGTTTACCTCTCTCTCTAAAATCAATAAATTAAAATTTTTTAACGTCCTCTAAGTGCCAAGTACTGGTCAGGTAGGGCATAACAGCCACGGTGGGCCTCTGAGAGGCTGTTTTTCTCCACTTTCCGTACCACTAGGTTTCCTTGTGTCCAAAAGGGGTTTTGCTCATTTCCTCATTTTCTGGCTTGTGGTCCAGGCAAGCCAGGCAAGCACGTTGTCGTGGGACCTAGATCGGGAGTCTCCAACCCTTCCCGCCTCCCTTCCCCTGTCCGGGTAGCAGGTGAGCCCGCAACAGCCGCGCCTCGGCAACTCCTGGCCCCTGGCCGGTCCCCACCCCACGGTGGGGAGTAACCTCTACGCCTGCAGGGTCCAGTAGATTTGGCGAACAATGACCGCCGCCACCCCGCCTACTTTTGGCGTCACAATCAAAACAATCCTTTAACTACAACTCCCAGAAGGCCGAGCAGCTGCGCGAGCTCAACAGCTCACGGCTGTACTCCCACAACTACAGATCCCAAGGGGTATCGCGCGAACATCCCTTCTCCATTGCGCAAGTGCGGAACCGCCGTTGTTTCCGGCGTGGGTCTGGACGGGAGCGACTGTAGTTGACTTTGGGTCCTACCTGGCAGGGCTTTTCGACTTACCACTTGAAGATCTTGGCTGTGCAGGTCAGGTAACAAGCTTAAAAAAAGCAACTGTCGTCTCCTTGGGACCTGGGAGGATTTCAGGTCTAGGCGGGCTGGGTCAAAGGCCGGACTTAAAGCTGCGGTCTGCTGCAGGACATAACTTCTTAATTAATGATTTCTCGGCGTTTTCTAGTTTGCGAAGTGATGTTTTCCTCCAACAGTCCCTTCTAATCCCCAGATCAGCACTTTGTGTGAGGGTGAGTGCCGCCTGTTGACATCTAAGGGAAAGGTTCAGGGAGGTTAAGTGATTTGCCTAAGTACACTGTGAGTCGTTGCTGAGCGGGGCCTTGAAATGTTTTCTAAGTCCAAACCCGGTATTATCTGCTTTGCATCGAATTGCAGACGCCCTTTCTTGTTGTCTAAGAGGGTTGGGGAGTAGGCATCTCTTGCCTTCTCAAGGCTGGAATTTTCCAATAGAGTGATGAAGGGAGCGATGAGGTGATGCAATCAAGTTTTCTGTAGTTCTGTAGATACAATTTTATTCTAATGTCTGAGCCATTTACTCACTCCATGGCGTACTTATAGGGGTGCGTGCACGTTATCAAGGCCTGTTCTAGGTACTAGAAATACAGCAGCAAACAAAAATGCCCAACCTTAGTCAGGGTAGACAGATAGTGATCAGAGATAAGGAGAAAAAGCAAGGTCAGGGAAAACATTTATTGGAGGATTTTGAACAGAGCTGTAACTTATGTTTAGAACTGATATTTCATTTGTGTCCTAGGCACAGCAGCTACGCAGAAAAGATGGGAGAGGAGGCCAATGATGACAAGAAACCAACAACTAAATTTGAACTAGAACGAGAAACAGAACTTCGCTTTGAGGTGGAAGCATCTCAGTCAGTTCAGCTGGAGCTGCTGACTGGCATGGCAGAAATCTTTGGCACAGAACTGACTCGAAACAAGAAATTCACCTTTGATGCTGGTGCCAAGGTGGCTGTTTTCACATGGCACGGCTGTTCTCTACAGCTGAGTGGCCGCACCGAGGTGGCTTATGTCTCCAAGGACACCCCGATGTTGCTTTACCTCAACACTCATACAGCTTTGGAGCAGATGCGGAGGCAGGCGGAGAAGGAAGAAGAGCGAGGCCCCCGGGTGATGGTAGTGGGCCCCACTGATGTGGGCAAGTCCACAGTGTGCCGTCTATTGCTCAACTATGCAGTGCGTTTGGGCCGCCGTCCCACTTATGTGGAGCTGGACGTGGGCCAGGGCTCTGTGTCTATCCCTGGTACCATG